TTTGTTCTCCGGTGAATTTCAGACAAGTTGGTTAGAGACCTTCAAAAAAGGTACAATCACTCGATTTTTCTCAAGTTTGTCTGTCTTGGCAGATAAAGCAATACCAGAACAGGCCTACGAACACACATATTTGATCAGGATCGGACGATTGGACACTTTTAAAAGGAGATATTTCGTGCCTCCCGGAAGTTCACGGGAGAGCAGATGTGGGGTTTCAAAAAAGGTGTCGATATAATATATATATATATATATATATATATATATATATATATATATATATATATATATATATATATATATATATATATATATTCGTGTAAGCAGGCAGTATATTTTCTTGTAGACATGTTTGATTGAAAACGATAGCATACTTAGCTTTTACGTTCTTCTTAGAAAGCTTTTCTTTCCTCCGGATTGTCTTTTTGTGTAATTCTGGGAGATTATGTATAAGGTCCCCAAGACTCATAGATCTGTAAAATTCATGTATGTTTGCACTTTCAATTATACGACGCGTTTCGGAGAAGCGTTCTCCGTCTTCAGGTAAGTACACAAAACACACACACCGTCTTGTCACTGTCTAACGATCGCACTGTCTACTTGAATAAAATAAATAAATAATGATTTGTTTCATATCTAATTGTTCTAATTACAGTTTCGCGACGTTCGATGGGCTATCAGGGTAAAAAAGGACACACTTGAAAAACAATAAGCTAACCAAATCGTGAAGTCACAGTCATTGGACTTCCGGCGGGAGAAGCACAGGAACTCTGGAATAAGTGCCTACTTGTACTTGAACAAGCACTTATTCATTTAGAGTGATGATGCCCCTATGCTCGAGCTGGTCACACATGATCGGTGAGTATTCCTGTATGTAGGCTGCTTCGAGGATCTTTAGGCGTCTGGGGTTGGACTCACGTTGTAGGATGCTGGTGTTTTCCACCAGCTCAGCCTTTGTGATTTCCGTTCCATGGACGTTCCTCGAGTGTTCGGCGATACCGCTGGTGTGCAGGTGAGGCTCACGACGGCTCACCACTCACCTGCACACCAGCGGTATCGCCGAACACTCGAGGAACGTCCATGGAACGGAAATCACAAGGGCTGAGCTGGTGGAAAACACCAGCATCCTACAACGTGAGTCCAACCCCAGACGCCTAAAGATCCTCGAAGCAGCCTACATACAGGAATACTCACCGATCATGTGTGACCAGCTCGAGCATAGGGGCATCATCACTCTAAATGAATAAGTGCTTGTTCAAGTACAAGTAGGCACTTATTCCAGAGTTCCTGTGCTTCTCCCGCCGGAAGTCCAATGACTGTGACTTCACGATTTGGTTAGCTTATTGTTTTTCAAGTGTGTCCTTTTTTACCCTGATAGCCCATCGAACGTCGCGAAACTGTAATTAGAACAATTAGATATGAAACAAATCATTATTTATTTATTTTATTCAAGTAGACAGTGCGATCGTTAGACAGTGACAAGACGGTGTGTGTGTTTTGTGTACTTACCTGAAGACGGAGAACGCTTCTCCGAAACGCGTCGTATAATTGAAAGTGCAAACATACATGAATTTTACAGATCTATGAGTCTTGGGGACCTTATACATAATCTCCCAGAATTACACAAAAAGACAATCCGGAGGAAAGAAAAGCTTTCTAAGAAGAACGTAAAAGCTAAGTATGCTATCGTTTTCAATCAAACATGTCTACAAGAATATATATATATATATATATATATATATATATATATATATATATATATATATATATATGATATGCCTTCATAAAGACTCGAATATTCACAATTTAACATGCCTTTCCTTACGATTCACTAAAGTGTTTTCTGATTGGTCGAGGCTGACCCCTGTTGTGACGTCACAGGTCATCATCCACTCAGGTGACTATCCACATGCCAGATCTATCATATACATCATATCCAGACTCATTTTGAAAACTAAGATTTCATGTTTATGGCGGACTTCTCGTCATTGCAAATTGGACTGATTTGACCTTGCTTGACCTCCCTGTGGCGTCACAGGTCAAATATCAAGGTTTTGTTTGTTTGTTTGTTTGTTTGTTTGTTTTGTTGGGTTAGGCCCTTTCGGTCCAATTAGACCATTTCAGAGCCGGAAGGATGATAGGTATTAGGGGGAGACATTGGTCTGGGCAGGCAACCTAGTGAGTCACCGGGGCTGAGCCCATCCCGAAGGACAGGCCGGCCAGCCCCAAGGTACTCACTGCACAGTGCACCCGGCTACGGGGTGCGCTCCCTCGGGAGCAGCGGTGCCGCTCCAAGGGAGCAGCCCGCATGAGATAAAGTTGCCTGTCCAGCCCGGAGGGGGGTTGCGGCGTGGAGGAGAAGGATTTCAGTATCCTGAGGATAGAAGCATGGAACGGTGAAATATCAAGGTCATCGATATCCTATCTTGTGCATCTTGATGAGCTCTTTCGATTTCCGTTTGAATTTTTCCGATCCGGCTATTGGTTCTGGAGATACCTACGACGGGGGGGGCCTTTGCCCCCACCCGCCCCCCCCCCCCCAACAGGACGTCGAACCTGCCATACTTCAACGGGGCGCGGGTTAAGAATGGTCGAAATGCTTAATGTTACATACCATTCGACTCGGCTGATCAAGAGGAACAAAATGATACCATTTTGAAATCTCTTTCTTTATTATGTGACAAGTAATTGGCACAAACGTCATTTGACCTCAGTTGACCTCATTTGACCTGACCCTTGGATAAGTACACCAAACAAAGAAAAGACAAGTGACATCATGTTAAGTACTGTGGTGTCAAAGCACAAAAGCGATACAACGAAGCGTATTTCCCGAATTGGAGTCATTTGAATATTTTCCCATAGGCTTAACATTACGACGTAATGACCTCTAACTGGCCTAAGGTCAGTGACATAAAAAACGAACTATATGGTATACAACTCGGTGAACTTAGCACATCCTGAAAATGGAAGGAAATCAGTCCAAAAATGTGAGTTGGACAGGTGCATAAATAAAATTGAAATTTGACCATGACCTTGTGCCGGTTTTTCTGACCTGGTGAGTGGTAACCTGACCCAAGGTCACCCGGACCTGAAATGTTCAGGGCATATGTAGAAAGGTTGCCCCATAGGCTGTGCCAAAGCCGTTTTTACGCTATCTTTGAAAAACCTTAGGGGGGCGGGGTCGCTTGGCCCCTCCCCCTGCCAGGGCGAGGGTTAACCTGAACTTTGTTTGCTGTTTTGTTTGCTCGATTTTATTGAATATCTTCGCATATTTAGACATTATACACTACAGTCTGGGATCGGTGCTAAAGCTATTCAGCTTATTTCGTGGCACCTCTCCCTCACACACACTACTATGAACGTCAAACCCCTTGAGACCCCACTTTTTTGCGATAATTTTTAAATGCGTCAACTTTCGTTGACAATATTCTGGCAATGTATGTTTCAGAACCTGCCGAAACTTTTAGTACTAAGGTATTTTGGCGCCAAACGATTATGGAAGGTACTTCTCATTCACTCGTAATGTTAAGGTCAATTCAGGCCCGGGCAGAGGCTTGCGCTCGGCCACACTCGAGCCCCGCCACCAGCGCCATCTGCTCTAAATGCCATCTACCAGCGCCCGCTACCGCTACCAGCTACCGCCCACCATCAAGCCTGAATGGAGCGAGAGACGCGAGTGACCGGTCGCCGGGCAAGGAGCGCCGGAGGGGTAGGGCGGAGCTTAGCGCTGACGTCATTACGTGGCTCCGCCCCATGAGAGCGTAGCCTCTACCCAAACAGCAGATTCGTTCCGTGAAATTTAACATTACGAGTGAATGAGAAGTACCTTTAATAATCGTTTGGCGTCAAAATACCTTAGTAATAAAAGTTTCGGCAGGTTCTGAAACACACATTGCCAGAATATTGTCAACGAGAGTTGACGCATTTAAAAATTATCGCAAAAAAGTGGGGTCTCAAGGGGTTTGACGTCCATAGTAGCTCATTCACACGTCATTCACGACAAAAAAAAATATCGGGTGCAAGACAAATAATGATCTAAGTGAAGTTTTCATAACGAATCAAAAGAAAAATAGGTACAATGATAGAGTAAATGCACTTACAAAGCATAAAGTAATCGTTGTTATCAACTAAGTTTCGCATAAAACATAAGTAATTAAAGTAATGCTACCTTGTACTGTAACACCTGAACGTAAGTGTAATGTAAGTAATGTAACCTTGACCTGACCTGCACCAGAACATAACCTAAACCGTCTCTGATGTTCGTCTAACCAAAGCCGTGGAGTTGGAAATTAAAAATTTGTCGTAAAACATGCACCACACGGCCCTAGTAAAGTTGGGTTCATGTGTTGATCCCTGGTGACCTGATCTCTGTGACCTGACCTGGTATCAGTGACCTCTTTTAGCAAGACGTGTACTAGGCAATCGACGCTCTATCAATGACATTATGAAAGATTTCAGACCAAACTTTGTCCTTTTTTACGATGACCTGCTAGCTTCATATATGAAACTTTGGTGTTTTGTGAGCTTTATTGCCAGCTTTCAATAATTTTGACCGCATGTTCCGCTGCTCCGGCGGCACACGATCTTGCTGTCGTACGAGGATCGTTCAATACGCTCTTTGTCTCGCATGTTTTCATCCTTCAAAAATGTTTTCCGCCTTTTTGGCGATGTGTCAGTTCCGACTTAACCATTCCCGGCTCCTGGAACGGTGAGTTTCGCAACTGACTTGAACTAGCGACGTCTATTCACACGCCTGACCCATGGTCAGAGTGGAACCCTTTTGTTTGCTGATTAACAGTCGGATGCATTGGAGAGCAATAAAACTGCTTGGTGAAGGTTGTTGCCACTACCCATGCAAAATTTCGACGCCGGGTTTTTGGCTGTTACGGAAATATTGTCGAAAGAGCATGGCTGGTGCCTGTCAGCGAACTGTCGGGACGCCCTGTACTGTACAGTGTACACTGTTCAGATGTCTGTGTGAGCGCGGCGTACCCTGTTTGCAGGCGCTGGGGGGCCTGGCCGTCTCTGCCACGGTCAAGTACGCGGACAACATCCTCAAGGGTTTCGCCACGTCCATCTCGATCCTGCTGTCGGTGCTCATCTCGTGGGGGTACCTGGGCGACGTGTCGCTGTCGGCCGGGTTCGCTGCCGGCGCGCTGCTCGTGGTCGGCGCCACCTTCCTGTACAGCTGCGGTCGGCCGGCGCCGCGCCCGGCCGCCGCCGCCGCCGCCGCCGCCCGCCACAAGGTAGAGTAGCGCCGGCCGACCGACCCGCGACTGAGCGGCCGCGCCCCGGGCAGCCCTGTGACACGGCAACCGCCCGCTGCACTGGCCATCACAGGGCATTAGATTGATGAGCGTGTGAGATTAGATAGTACGTGATTCATAAGTGTACTGAGGTCACGAGGCTGTGTGTCGTTTTAAAATGTCGGTCATACTTTGTCCTTATTGTAACGTAGCTGACAGCGGCGCAGCATCAGCTCGGTGCGGTACCCATGACAACCTCAGCCAGTTCGTCATCCAATCACCAGTAGCAGCTGGCCTGCTCAACTGCTACCACTGACATCACTTCAATAAATAACATTCTATCTTTATGGTCTTATCAATATGTCCTCCCTTAATCTGGTTGGAATACCTAGCTTATGTCAAATTATGCATGTGATGTTGTAGGTAACCTATTCAGCAATAGAAAATTAGCTCTGATTAGCTTTGAGCTTTCGCTTAGTTGTCTTTCTTGGAAAACCTGTAGTAACGGCTCTTGCTGACATTATGCAGCGCGGGTGCCTGCCTGGAATATTCAGCGACATAGTCTCATATTGGGGCTCGGGCGGGTGTGTGAGCGGGTGGTGGCGGCCGTTGGCTATTGCCGTGTGACCAGGTGTGACCGGCCTCTGTTCCCGTGTGTCAGGTGTGACCGGGTGCCGGGGCAGGCGCGCGCCACCCACTGTGAGTAGGTGGGCCGGGCTCGGCCGTCCGACCCCGTGTGCCGTCCGTCCGTCCGTTAGCCAGGGCCGGTGTCCGTGTGCGGGCTCCGGCGCCCAGCGGCGCGCCCGGCTAGTCACCGTGTACTCGCATGGCATGTCAGCAGTGTGTCCGGCCGGAGCTGGCGCCGACTGGCCGGCGGCCGGGCGGACCCGCCTCTGCCGCCGCGCTGCCGGCACGGGCGCGGCTCGCAGACCGCTGGCACACACCCGGTGCGGCATCCAGTGCCAGTAGCGGACGGTAGTATCGACACGACACTAGCGTCCGCCTTCAGCTGCCCTGAGCGTGTCACCGCCATCCCCATACAGCCGAGTTTGGCCAGTAATTTGCCATTGCCACCCCCAGCGCCAGTTGCTCTCGTACTGCACCGAGCCACTCTATGGCGGCCGCAAATCCCGCGCCACCATCAAATCGCAGTTAATGCATGCATATACCCCCCCCCCCCCCCCCCCCCCGCCACAATAAAAGACTTTTTGCTGCCAGTGGCTGATTGCGTCTCCTGGCCTTCTTGCTCTCATATGGACATCTCTCGCTTGTGTTGAGCTTCGTTCTCCTTCCGCTTTATCATTTTGGTTGTTGAATCCTTCTGGCCTGTTATTAGTGTTGTGTTTTCCTAGACTGGCTGTTTTCTTTACGCTGTGGATGTTTTTTTGCTCCATGTATTGTTAAATGTGTACATAGCTTCCAGCTTTTCAGCGGTCGTCATGTAGTGTAGGCGGCGCCGCCGGAGCTGGCCGGCTGCTGGGCCGACGCGCGCTGCACTCGGAGCTGGCGCCGGCCGCTGCGGCTCTGTGGCCCGTGCCGCCGAGCGGGCGAGCCGTGCCGTCGGCGGCCCCTCGGCGCGGTCAGCGCCTGTGACAGTGTGCCGTCTGCGGCCCCTGGGCGCGGTCAGCGCCTGTGACAGCCGTGCCGTCTGCGGCCCCTCGGCGCGGTCAGCGCCTGTGACAGTGTGCCGTCGGCGGCCCCTCGGCGCGGTCAGCGCCTGTGACAGCCGTGCCGTCGGCGGCCGCTCGGCGCGGTCAGCGCCTGTGACAGTGTGCCGTCGGCGGCCCCTGGGCGCGGTCAGCGCCTGTGACAGTGTGCCGGCCGGCCGCCGCCCGGTTGGTGCTCAGTGCGTGCGCCGCGGTCGTCACTGCGGCTCTTCTGCCGGGCCATTGATAGTGCTCATTCGTCGCTGTGTTCCGTTTCGTTTTTGACTTGGAGTGTATGTCTGTGACTGCACCTATGTCGATAGTGTCATTATAGCACTACATTAATAGAAGATATGCTATGAATAGCCAGCTACGGTCATAGTTCACCCTATTACTGGCGGGCTATACGGAGTACCTTAACTGATAGGGGGGACGATTCGGCCCCTTGATATCACGAGAACCGCGCGGCCGATTCTGATGCGGTAAGCGGCATTCGGCAGCCCTTATCGTGTGCTACATTTTCCAATTTTAAACAATGTAAAAAAGTCTAAAGTTTGAGGTTTGAAATGTAAAAGGTTTGAAATACAAAATACAAAAAAAAAATCGTGGAATGCATCGTGGAAGTGCAATCCCTTATTGTTTCTCGGCCGATGTCTTCCAGATTTTAGTACAAGCTTCTCAATGAATCCTTCAATCACATACAGGGTGTTTCTGAAAATGCTGACACATTTATTTCTCCTATATCTCTCATGTTTATTGACGCACGCTCATCGTCATAGGCTACAACTAATCAGTCATCATAAAAAATTCACATCCATCGCCAATGATCACTATTTGACCCCCTTCCCGGAACCTAGAGCAGGTGCTCGATGTGACCACCACTTCAAGCCAAACAGAGTTCGGCCCGACGGCGCACTGCTTCCAGAACTCGGCGGCGCTCCTGGGGCGTCACCGCCCTCACGCACGTGCGGACCGCAGCCTTCAGCTCGGGAATGTCTCGAGGTTCACTCTTGTAGGCTCTTTCCTTGACAAGACCCCAGAGGTAGAGGTCCGCCGGCGTGAGGTCCGGAGACCTCGGTGGCCACCTGGTGGGAGCGCCTCGGGAAATGAGCCCCCCCCCCCGAAGCGCTCCTGTATCCACTGTAGGTAGGGTCACAGTGGCTGCATGAGCGGGGGCACGATCCTGCTGCAACCACTGATGGTGTCCACACACTTCCTCTGGAGCGCAGTCCAGAACTTCTCGAGCACCTGCAGATAGCGCTCCGCCGTCACTGTGAGGACGTCGCCCGCGTCATCTTCGATCCAGATTGGGCTGATAATGCCCGTGCTGCTCACAGCGCACCATCCAGTGCATCGGGGCGGGTGCAGCTGATCTTCTGCGACCTCGGCTGGGGCATTCTCGCTCCAGATCCGGTTGTCCAAATCAGATCAAGATCCAGATCCAGATTAGCGCCATTGTGTCAAAACAACAGAATTGGTTTCGAAGTAGAAATGCACCATCTTAGCATTTTCCTTCGTGTCGTAATACGGCGTATTGAATCAAGTATTGAATGAAGGCACCGATGCTGTCAAACAAATTTTCAAAAACTATTCTTTCGTCTCGTGTATTGAACACGTGCATTTAAATGCAGTAAATTCCTCCAAATACCAAAACAAATGTGTCAGCATTTTCAGAAACACCCTGTATATTCCGGCTTCCACTGTTTTCGAAAATCATAGGCGGTTCCAGGTAGATGAAAATGGGAATGGGTTGAGTATTTTTTTTAGCTACAGAAGAATAAACGTTGCAGACTTAACAATCGGATGAGTCAAGTTTTCGATCGGGATAGCAATTACAGGTGTTCTTTTAGCAGAGGCGGGTGCGAGTAATGACATGCATTGCATGCAATGTATGTCATTATGTCATATATACCTACATAGTGCGGTTTTGACCACTATGCATTATTTCATTAATCACCACCTCCCATCGTGTCTACACATGCGCCTATTTAACATTGATCATGGTTGCTAATATACTAATATAGGAAATCAACTGGAGTCTGGAAATACCGCAGTATGCCTACAAATATATTTACGCGGTTTGTTATTGTCACTTTCTCATGTGCCTCCACCCCCACTCCTCCACTTATGTCTTACGTTACCATTGCCTATGTGCCCGTTTTATTGTAATAGCACCATAGGTATAGGGGTAAAATATAATGATTTTGAGCCGTCGTTTGATATACAAACATGTAACATCTGGCAGAGTTTTCCTCACTTATTTCGATTTTTTACACATTAGAATAATAACCCCTCGGCCTCAAGGTTCAAGCCTCCTGGTTTCTACCAACGTCCGCCTACGCTAATTTCGGCTTCACACACTTCGCAGAGCATAATTACGAATGAAACTGCTGCTTATCGCTGATGCAAACCAAAATCTATATTACTATTTGAACAGGATCCATCTGTTTGTCTGTCTGTCCGCCACGCCGTGTAGTGGGTTCAATTTAGCCGGCCTACAGGGCAGACGGTATATCGTAGGGGGTTGAAATTTGCACACCTTATAGGTGACAGAGCGGGTCAGCGCCTTTTCTAGGTTTCGGCTCGCTGGGGTGCACGGTTCGCGCGTGGGGCGCGCCGGAAGAACGCCAATGAAATTTTGATCGGTTCGTATATCTTCATTGAGAGCCGGGGTCGACAAACTTTGTGAGCTAAATGCATGCCGATCGGTGGCGAGTGCCTCGCATTGGCGGATGGGCAAGTTTTTAATTTGAATAAAAAGTGGTGAGAAAATGTGTTAATTGTCGCTAAATGGGTACAGTTTGTGATGGAATTTACAACTGCACCGCGTTTGCCGCAAGGCGCCACATTTGTCCCAAGGCTCCATCTTCGTCGCAATTCGCACAGTTTTGTCAAATATGGTCCGATAAGGGTGCAATTTGGTGCCAAGATGCATGCTCAATTAACAGGTCCAGATGCGCCGCATTTGCCGCAATGCGCCACATATGCCACAAAGCGCCATTTCCGACAAATACGATTAAGCGTAATGGAATGGCACGAATAGGGGCAGGGCTGGGAACACTTCAAGTCTGATATTTTAGTACTGATTGGATCCAATTATTCTGTGACCTGACATGACCCAGCGGTGTTGGTAGGGGTAGGGGTAGGGGTAGTGGTAGGGGTAGGGTAGTGGTAGAGGTAGGGGTAGGGGTAGTGGTACGAGTAGAAGTAGGGGTAGGGGTAGTGGTAGGGTTAGTAGTAGGGGTAGTAGTAGGGGTAGTGGTAGGGTAGTGGTAGGGGTAGGAGTATGGGTAGGAGTAGTGGTAGGGGTAGGGGTAGTGGTATGGGTAGGGATAGTGGTAGGGGTAGTGGTAGGGGTAGTGGTAGGGGTAGTGGTAGGGGTAGGGGTAGGGGTAGGGGTAGGGGTAGGGGTAGGGGTATTGGTAGGGGTAGGGGTAGTGGTGGAGGCAAAAGTAGAATTGTGGCCCGGGCTGATCCCATCGGACGAGAGGTGACCTATGTGACCTGGCCTGACCCAAAGTGACCGGGGCTGACTCCCTTGGCCTTTCTAGACCCCGTATCAGCCAAATTTCATCCAACAAAACCCTCAGAACAGTTCTTTTTTAATTCTCTTCACATTTCCGTCCATATCTATGCTTCTAAATCTAGACGACACATCGATTTGAAACGAACACCATTCAAACGCAAATTGGCTGGTGCCGCAATTTTTTCCTACCACGCAGCAAAGCAAGTGGCGCAGCCGCTTGTCTATATTACTATTTGAGGAGGGTGCGTCTGTCCGTTACCGAGGTCCCGACTTGGTGGTGCTTTGCGTGGACTACAGGCCAGACCGTTGCACCTAGCCCGGTGAAATTTGCACAACTCATAGATCAAGGATGCGCGACGTGCCTTTGAGGGGTCTGGGCTCGATCGGATTGATAGGGAGCGCGTGACGCGTGCCCAAAAAGTGCAAATTTGCGTCATAGACTTTACATGTATAAATCGGCTTGCAAAATCAGGCAAAATGGCTAAATTTGCCCGACACGGGTCCGGTTCCCGTGCAATATTTTGGTGACCAGGGGTCCGACCGGCACGGGGAAAACAGCATCGTGTAGATAATTGAATGGGCAATGGAATCGTGTGCGATACAGAGGATAGCACGCGCCACGTGCACCGGGGAGGGCACTTTTGTTGAAAAATTGCGGTTTTTGGCGGATTTTGGAATTGATTTTATTTTTAGGTGACCGTTTAACAGGGCGAGTTGGAACAACGCCTGTTGGCAAGAGAAATGTACCGCCTATCATATAAAAATTGTGAAAAGCTGATTGATCCAAACCAAGGTGGTACAAATCACGGGAGAAAATGGTGTTTGTCAATTTTGTGTCACTTTGTTCATCAAAATGGCTTTGCTCCATGATCTGATGTAGCTGGCAATTAAAAATGGCACCGTTGGAAAGAGCATTCAATTCTGACCAAGGTTCAGTCTTCATTTTTGCATGATGAGCAACAGTATTCTTAAAAATGTAAATTTTCCAAACCATTGCATCGTCATTTTTAGCGAAATTCATCGATGGCCCTCAAAAGACTTCACGCCAGTTTTCGAATCATTCTAAAGTAGAACGCATGATAATACGACACGGGCACCTCGATGTGATGTATCTTTTTTATTACAAAATGCTTGGCCGTCAAAAAGCAATCGAACGAAATGGATAGGCACCAGCGAAATCGACACAGACCAACCCAGTACCCACGGGTAAAAAATAACCCTTCTTTGCGTTGCGGAGCACGCGGGTAATATCTAGCTATGCTATCAGCAGCGAATGTTAGCGGAGTCGCGTTTTAGCGAAAACAAGACTCCCAGAAACCGGCCCAGGAGACGCCTATGGACAATATGCAAAACCAAACTCAGAATTTTGGCCCAATGCTCCCAATGAATGCCCAGGAAAAGTCCAATTTCACGTCGCCTGCTCAAACCTTTTTCATACAGAACAGGAAAACTGATAGGAAAAGGAAAAAACAGGAAAAGGGAGCCGAATTGCTTCCCACCCCTCACCAGTAATAGTGTTAACAATGCATGTGAAATTGTGAAGAGGTATTTGATTTGTTACCACGTCTGCAGCTACGCGTGATTGGCGAACTGCAGGCCTAATCGGTGAATGCCAGTGTTGTACCGCCCTGTGGCAGTGTCACTACACTGTCCTGTGGCAGTGACACTGTACCGCCCTGTGGTGGTGTCACTGTATATACCGCCCTGTGGCAGTGTCATTGTCTATACCGCACTGTGGCAGTGTCACTGTACCGCCCTGTGGCAGTGTCACTGTCTATACCGCACTGTGGCAGTGTCACTGTACATACATACCGTACTGTGGCAGTGTCACTGTAGGTA